TGTCATTCTAATCCCATAAAGATATATTGCATTTCTGCATAACTCCAAGCAGACCCTTTCTAAAAGCTGCAGATCTCTAATTCTTCAGTCAAAGGAGTACGTATTCTGCAATGCAATTGAGCGACTCAGAAATTAAAGATAAATAGCTGATCTAGTTCAAATTTTTAAGTATTTTTTTATGACTGCTTCTCTAGATAGCCCTTGGAATTGTTAATTTGCTATTTTTTTTTTCTTGTTATAAGAAATGCTATTTCTGTTTAAGTGTTGCTGAATTTGGAAATCATTCTCATGACTAAATATTTATTTTCCTAGTAAGAGCCCAGTGTAGGGCTTTGCTGCCAGTGGGTGCTCAATAAAGATTAATGGATGGCCGTGCACGGCCGTGTGGGAGTTGTGTGTTTAGGATCTGCACAGCTCTCTGAAATGATGTGGGGAAGAAGAAAATCACAAGATTGTCATTCCACCTCAGTCATGGATCTCTGGATCAGACTTTATCACCTGAAGGATGCCATGGGCCCAGATGCAAAGGAATGGGATTGTGGAACCTGGTGTTTTCTTGAGCAATGGCTGGGAGATGCTGTGAAGACTAGATTCCAGGGCCCAATTCCAAGATTAGTATCAAACAAAAGAGAAAACTTGGTTCTCTGATGAGGGCGGGAGGAAATCAAATATTTTTTTAATTGACACATTTTCTATTATTATATACATATAACCACGATGACTAATGTGCCATATCAGATGGTGTATTCAAACTGTCAGAACAGGAGCTGAAGCGTGAGTAACTTTCCAGAAAACCTTCTGAGAAATTTGAGCAGTGACAAGTGGCAGTAACCAACCATGAGTTCATCTACTACTAAGTCATCCCTGCAAACCTCAGGGGAACACAAAAGCACCCCCTCAAAGTGCGTGGTGGGACATTTCTAAATGTACTTCACTGAAATGTCAGATGTCCCTCTTCAGCTCAGGAGCATGCCTTTGATAGGAAGTGTGGGGTCAGCTTTGTGGCCTGGGAGAGGAAGCCTTCATTATGAATGATGACTACTGAACACCTTCCTAAATCTCAGTAGAGCTTCACCATATAAGGATACTCACTTGAAAAATCAAACTTTGCCTTGGCATCAAAAATAGTGGAGGCAGGGATCACCAGTTGGCGTAATGGCTATGTTGTTGGACTCCCCTGTAGTCGACCACGGTTTGAGTCCCAGACCCGGTGGCTTAAAACTCACACTGGGCGCGTGTGTGTGCGTGCCCAAGAGCCCGAGAGGAGAATGGAGGAGAAGGGATTACCACGTGGCCATTCCCCCTGGGGGGGGGGTGATTTCTTGCTTTCTGTCTCTTTGTCTCTGTCTGGTGAGCGCATGCGCCCTATAGCAAAAACCTCTCCAAAAATTAAAAAAAAAAAAAAAAAAGAAAGAAATAGTGGAAGCAGTGAGGCCAGCAGGGGGTCTGGCTTAGGCCCTAGAGTACCACATGGCCAATGAAGTCTTGAGTCCTGGACCTGGTGGCTTCAAGATCACACGGAACACAAAATTCCAGGAAGATAGTGGAGGAGAAGGGATTTCAGAATGGCCATCCCCACTGGGACATGATTTCTTACTTTCCCCTTTCTGTCTCTGGCAAGCACAAATGCCCTGTGGCAAAAACTTTAAAATATGGTGGAAGAAAATCTCAATTACTAGTAGTGATATGGTCAGTCTCAGGCTGGAAGGGGATGCATTAGTATTGTGTAGGAGTGTTTACCTGCAAGCTCACTGGGTGGCCCTGGTTCTCCCGCTGCTGTTTATTTCAGTCCCATCACCTGCATGAGCAGGGAAGAGACTAGCTTTCTAATCTAATACTTCATGTTATCTTGGAGTTCCTTCTTTAAGATGAGTATTTTTCAGTGGAAAAACTCCATGGGTATTGAGGTTTTGTTGAGAATTAACTTATACTACCTTTTAAAAATTCCACTTTTAGGGACCAGCAGGTAGTACAATGGTTGCAGCACTGTATTCCCATGTAGCTGACTTCAGTTTGAGTCCTGGACATGGCTGCTTGAAAACCCAACTGAGCATGTGTGCACGCATGCCCAAAATCCTAGGAGGAGAAGGGATTGCAGCATGGCCAGCCCTTCAGGGGGTGATTTCTCACTTTGCCTTTCACTGTCTCTCTGGATGACAAACACATGCACCTTATAGTAAAAAACTTAAAGAAAAACATTCCATGTTTATTCCTTACTAAACTCTCCTGAGCAATAAAGGGGCTTTATGAATTTTGATAATTTCGTGAATTTTGAATGCCTTTCACTAACATGTTACCTTCCATCACTTGCAGTATGCCTTATAATTTTGTCTGCTAATAGAAAAATAACTTGAAGTAACCCAGAAGGTATGTTAATAAAGTAGGTAATGTGACCAGGAGGGAAATACTATGATAGGATCGTCAATAACTTCATGGAAAACACGTAGTATGATAGTATGCATGGGTTTTAACATTTTTTTTTCACCAAACTAAACTGGTATTTTAATTCTATTTCCCATGAACTCTTTGAAGTTCCCTTGGATGCATTTTCTGCTTGACAACATGAAAATGAGATAGTGCATGTAAACAAAAATATTACAGAAGTACATGTATAATTATGTCCAAGAGATATATGTGTATTTATCAAACTACCCTAAAATTGTAACAGGTTAGAGAAGTGGAAGGACGATTTTGCCAGTGCCAGGAGCAGCCAGGTGATGGGTAGATAGATAACACGGAGACCTGGCCCACACCTAGCCACATAGCCCAGCTCCTTAGTGTGGATTCTCTTAGCAAAACCTGAAGGAACTGACATTTCTCCAAAGGGGATCAATGAACCTTTGATTCCTTCTGCTGCTCATTTGACCTCACTTTGTTTTGAAACAGAAGCAAGAAAGAAAGACAAAAGTGGTGGGGTAGGATGGAGTGAAAGGGGATGCAGGGGGTGGGGGTCGAGGAGCTGAATGGAGGTGTTCCTTTGTGTTGTGAAGCCCACAGAAAGATCACAGGCTGCTGTCTTCCCTGAGATGTTACTGTTTGCTTGCTGGAATCTTATTTGTTCCTGCTTCTCATTTTAAATGCTTGCCCTGATGTAATACGTCACTGCCTTCCCAGCCATCATCCTCGTATTGACAAGCAAATGTCACCCACGTTTGATTGACATCCATTGCTCGCGAATGCAGAAGTATAATTTAGGAATCAATTCTGCTTCTGTACTTAAAGCCATTCTTGTATGTCTGTCTGTATTTGTTGGTGGGACAATTTACCTAATATCTACTCTGGGGGCTTTCCTTTAACATTAAAATCCAGGCTGTTCCTTCGCTTGCTGTCCCACCACAAATGGGGCTCTTTGTCATAGGTTTGTATTTCCCCCTCCCCCAGTGTCCATCTGAGAACTCTGTT